GGGGTGGGGAGGGGGGAGGCTGAGCGCAGGCCTTTGAGTCAGTAAACTGAGTGCTCTGTGTTTACCCCACAGGGAAGGTGGGTTCCACCACAGCCCCCGGACTAATCCAAGTCTTCCTGTTCCGGTTCACCTTATCTTGATGAAGAGAGCAATTTGTTTTACATCTTTTGTAGGAGCAAGTAGAACCGTGTGGGGGTGGTGGTTTTCTGATTACAATCCATTAAGGCTAAGCTGTGATTTCTAAAGCTCTTTCATTTGTGACATGAGCCAAACCCACACCCAATTTCCTCTCGCATAGAAAGCAGCATGCTACTTTTATGAAAATGATTTTTTTAATTATGTTATTTTAAGCAGAAGCATAACCGAAAATGCATATTGAGCAAAACAGAGCACTCCAGTTGGCACACAAAAAAAAAACGGGCTTTTGAGAAAGGTGAGCAAGAGCCCACATTGGGGCCTGGACCATTTTAACCGTTTCCAGCCTGGTTTCCCGGCGACTTTGCTTTTCCTCAGCTCTTGCAGCACAATGGCAGAAGGGCTACGGGGCCCTGGCTTACCCGATCCCCCTCCCCCGGTTCTGAGTCCTCTCTTGCCAGGACACGTCTCAGCCTTGTTCTCCCCCGCCCCATGCCCCGGCTGTCATCCCTGAGGCCCAAAATCTGTTCAAACCCTTCGGGTGTGAGGCCGGTCCCGAACAGCAAGCAGTTGCTCCCCGTTATCTCATGCTCAAGACCTGAAAAGTGCCCCAAGGCCCCGAGAATCTAACAGCACCCCCTCTTTACTGGTCCTGTATGATCTCCTTTCCCATAGCATACGAAGGAGAAGTCCAACCTTCTTCTGTCTTTTCCCTTTCCACAGTACTCACTGTGGAGACAGAGACTGTGCCTAACGGAAACAAACTTTTTTTTAAAGGTCCCAGGACCCCCCCGATAAACCGGCAAATGCAGTTTCTCCTTCCAGCAAGCCCTGTCTCTACCCAGCAACACTGACATTTGAATGGGCGCCCAGCGGTTTGCTGTTACCAGTCGATGTGGGTGCAACTTCTATTTTTTTTGTAATTTTTATTTTTTTTAAATTTTTTTGGTGGGGGGCAACATCCTCCTAAGAGAAGGTGCTGGTATATGTGAATATCCCTGGGTGGGCCCGTTAAGGAATCTTTCCACCTGTAAGAGGAGAGTGATGTCACCCACTGGAAGGTGGTCGTGAGCATGAGTGTGCATATAATTCCTGCACCCAAGGCCTGGCGTGTGACTGCCACAAGGCATTTAACTGGGTTGTCTTGTAGGCACCTCAAACTCAAAGTAGCCCCAAATAGCGCTCTTTGTGCCTCCACCGTGAACACACTCACCTTTGTGTGTTCCCGGTATTCCCCACCTGAGTATGAGGATCAGTGTCTGCCACCCCCATGACACCTGGTCCAGCCTACAGATGCCCGTGTGGCCCAGTGGTGAGCTTTCCACTTAGCTGGGGCAAGGTGCCAGCCTTTGGGAAGGCCTTCCCTGAGCCGTGAGCCTCCAGCCACCCCATAGTGTGGCCCTGTTCTGACTGTAAACAGCACTCATCACTGTCACGAGTGCTCCTGTCTGTCTCTCCCTCCAGACCTGAAACAGGGCCTGGTCTTGCTCCCCACCGCCCGTTAGCATCTGGAATGGTGCCTGGCACACGGCAGACGCCCTCCATCTATTCACCAAGGGAATGGAGTCCACGAACAGTAGCTGCTTCCATTATTACCACAAAAATTGGAGTTATGTTTACATGAACTAAAATATATACGTATCAGGTTATTTATAGACTGGGTTAAAATGGATTGGAAGGATTTGGCAGCAACCCTACCGAAGCAGGGACGTGCGCATCGAGTCTTGGTTATTTTGTAATCTATAGGCTTACAGAACCCATGAGACCCCGTCACTGGATCGGAAACCTGGCCCCCAGTCCTCTGAGTCTGCGCCCACACGAGTTCTCCTTGTTATGCCACAACTGTCTGACGCAGTGAATTCAGAAATGGGCGCGTGTCTGCCCCGAACGATAAGGGTAAAAGTCGCCATTCTGTCTGGGAGGGGACGAGAAAGCCTGCCCCTGTTGTCGCTGCGCATCCCACGCTGTAGAGGAATACAGATCAGAGATTAAAAGAGGCTCAGTCCCTCTGATCCTCCTCGGCGTGGGCACCACAGGGCCCCTGCAGGACCTTGGAAGCCCCAACTTGGTTTTCTGCACAATTCTGAATTATTTAAACTGCCTTCTCGCCTGCTGAGTTCTGTTTTAGCAGTAGTGCCCCCCCCCCCCTTCTCTGAACATTCCCACAGACAAGGGGCTTAAAAGATGCTCATTACCTGCAATAGGACCATGGTTACAGATTTTCAACCTCTGTGCGGGCTGGTGCTGGCCAGGGTAGATGACACAGTGGGTTAGTGAGCCCTCAGGTCCCCGACCGGGGACCCCCAGGAGGCACTTGGGTGTCAGGAGCAAGGCATTGAGGCAGAGTGTCCCAGAAGACGGAGGAAGGGGGGAGGGGAGGTAGAATCCTAGTAGCTGGCCCTGTCGGTTCACAAATCAGTGCTGGAAAACAGCAACCTCAGGTGGCTTTTAGTAGAGCCTTTCTTTGTACACGTGGGCTCCTGCTGATGTGTGTGAGGACCCTCTACTGCAGTGGCATCGAGCACTTTCTATATTCTATTCCAGAGATGCAAAGGAAACTGAATGTTCCCTTCAGGAATTTGCATTCAAGCAGAAAACATAGGAGCACGTCATGGTGGGACACCGGGGTTTACCCAGTGGTAGACACAGGTCTGAGTAGCTTCCAGACACACACCCCGGCTCAGACCCCTCTTCACGATCTCCTGGTTGCCATCTGGACGTCCCAAAGGCGTGTCAGGCTGAACACACTCAAGGTCACACTCAGGCGCTGGCCTCCCTGCCTCTGCTGTTCGTCATCTCAAGGAATGGCATCTCCACGGGGCCCCTCTGGATGCCTCCCTCTCCCTCCCTCCTTACTTCACACTCACTCCCCGTCATGTGGCCTCCTGAAGGCCTCTCGGGTTCGTCCTCTTTCCACCCCACTGTCACCACCTTGATCCCAGCTCCTGTCGCCTCTCATCTCGGCCCCTGGTCGGGCCTCCCCTGCCTTCTCGGGGCCCCTCCGGTGTGTTCTTTCACAGATTGGTCAAGTGACACCACTGCCCTTTGCTCACACACCCCCCCCCGCCAACACGCGCACGCGCCCATGTGCACACACTCACGCAGCCTTAAACACATCACCATCTCTCCACGGCTCCCTGTTGCATTTAGGATGGAACCAGGACTTAGCACAGTCTGCAGACTGGGGGGGGCCCCACCCACCCCGCCAGCCACACTCGCTTCCTTTTTTGATTTTGATACATTTTTTTAAAATGACCATACAGGCCAACTGACCTTTTTTTCTTTCGATAGATAGTGCTATGAATCCTAACACATGTTCTCATCTCCTTTTAATACCCTGGCTACACCGTGCATCTTCCTGCCCCTTCATGACGACCTCTCCCTCTGCCAGCCCCCAGGGGACCAGGTCACTCGTCCCGCAGAGCTCAGCTCCGACGTCCCTTTCTCAGAGACGTCTCCTCTGCCCGCCTCAACTGGGTCTTGTTCTGTGTCCTCATGGCACGAATTTTTCCTGCACAGCTGCTGAGTGGTGATGTAGATTCACTGGTGTGGCTCCTGATCTAGTGCCCTGCTGGTGAACCCCCCCACCCCAGGAGGGGCACGTGTGGATTTGTGCTCGCCATCCTACCCCCAGCGCCCAGCACAGTGCTCTCCACTTAGTAGTAGGTGCTCAGCAAACACTTCCATGCATGAGTAAATGGGCAAGGCATCGCCTGCATGGGAATGAGCCAGCCCTGCAGTCAGGACTTGGGGGAGGTGGCTTAGTGTGGTAGGGGAGCCGGTCTCCACATCAGACAGGCTTGTTCTGAATCCCTCCTTTACCTCTTTTTGTAGAATTTAACACCCTCCGAGCGGTGTTGGCTCACTTAATGAGCATAAAACCTAACAGCCTATGGGCAGGATTAAATGAGCTAAACTGCATGAAAGTCTCTGTCTTAGTAGGTGCTCCAAAGTGGCGGCCTGCAATCCGCCCTCGTGGGTGAGGGGAGGCCCTGCGCCAGAGGGGCTAAATGCTGCTTGAGATCCTAATACATCCTCCTCGAAAACCTGCAAAGCCACAGACAAGTTCTTGTTCTGCTCAGGGACCGTGTCCCTTTATGCCTCTCCATTTACTGAACACAGGCTGTTTTAGTACCGCCTGCTTGCCCTGTGGTGCAGGCTCTGTGGAACGTGCCAGACCCCTGCCCTGGAAGCGCTGGGAGTCCACTGTGAAACAGTCAGGATGCAGACAAAAGCCAGGGTGCTGAGCGTGGGCCCTCAGCTACCTTCAGTACCATCCTTGGGAGCAGGGAGCTGCCCGCCACCCTGGGGAAGGACCTTGTCCAGAAGGCCAGGCCGGCTTGGGATGTGGCCCCGCGCCTACCCACAAGCGCCTCGCTCTCAAGTGGAGCCGAAGCCCTCCCACGGAGGTCCCCCCGGCCGGTGCAGGGGCTTCTGGGGTTCTTCACCGTGCGGTGCGCACCGCGTGGACGGGAGCCCCAAGTGCTCAGTGTCTTGGGGAGAGGGGAGGTGGTGAGAAAGCTGGGGGGTCCTGGAGGCTCGTCTCCGGTGCCAGGCTGACCTGGACAAGCAGAGGCGAGAACAGAGACTGGCAGGGGATCTGGGAGCCGCGGGAGATGCGGAGGGAGCACCGGGGGCCGGAAACGATGCTTCTGTGCCTCTCTGACCACAGCCTCTCTCTGCTTCCCCCCCCCCCCCCCCCCCC